GTATATCAAATTTTATTATCAAATGGTATATCAAATTTTATTAAATTTTATCAAATGGTATATCAAATTTTATTAAATTTTATCAAATGGTATATCAAATTTTATTAAATTTTATCAAATGGTATATCAAATTTTATTAAATTTTATCAAATGGTATATCAAATTTTATTAAATTTTATCAAATGGTATATCAAATTCTATCAACCTGAAACTTTTTCCTTCTCCGTCGAACGTACACCGAGTTGTACAAAACCTCTGACGCGAATATTATATCAGCGGCGGATTTCACAAAATGGCTCACAGAGTGGTAACAACAGCGTAGACCATGTATAGTTGCGATTATTCCATACAACTGATAGGTGAACTCCATCAAATATAAAACCTCGAACGGAAAACGTTTCCATCTACTATCCTCTGAGTTTGTCCAGTGCCCAAAGATCAGACAACCTGTCCTCAAAAATCTTAGGAAGTTACGATCTCTTCGGTACATGTTCGACTGTCAAGAAAATTATGTGACAAGAACTCATTCTGAAAAATCGATACTAATCGAGGAGGAAAACGACATCGTTTCGCAATTATGTATGAAGGTGACTCGTTACGAGTAATGATTCGTATTATCGTTTGCAGGGAACTTTATTACGTATAATCTATAATCGATCAGCTTAATTGTGCTCGGTCTTTATCGTTGCTCGTAGAACGGTGAAGAGGGAGAGTACGTTCGAGACAAACTAAAAGTACAAATTAATAAGTTTATTAAAATTAATAAGTTACAAAATCTGTAACATGTTAGAAATAAGCAGTAATACCGAGCAGTAGTAGTTCAGTGACATTATCGGAATGATGTACACTATTTTAATAGCTACTGGCGCTTGGGGCAGCATCATGATCGCTATGTCTCTCTGCATGCTCGCAGACCTTAGGTACCACAGTGACTCGTATATAACTTGCATAGTATTTTGACTCTAACAACAGACACAGTAATAACTTATACAGCGTATTAACCCTTTGACATTTGACGAGTCATCTGTTTACTTGGGCGAAACGGTGGAGTCTGACTCGTCATTTGCATTTAAGAAAATTAATTAATATATTAATCCATACAGCGACAAATTAAATCCGCCCCATGTTCAAACAATTCAGTACTCAAAGAGTTAAAAACTTACAAGATGTAGCAGATGATCAGCTGGCCAAGCGAACATGAAGACCTCGATCAGCCCAGTCCCCGCCAGCGACAGAAACTGCACTTGCACCGTGAACGGCTGTTTCTGCAAAAACCCTCTTGCCACGATTAAATTGCTATAACCACTAACGTAACTTACTTCGATGAAATTAACCCCGCAAAATACGAGCACCACTCCGCACATGGTTACCGTAACCAAAGCTATAAACCGGACGGCCGTCGACACCCTCTTCGCGTACCTACGACAATCTTCTATAACTTTCCCTGTCATTTTTTCTTATGACGATTTTATACCTTCTCACGATGTAATACATTCTCACGCAGTCTATCAGGTCCCTGGAGGTCCGTACTTTGCGTAGTTTGATTTTTAAGATCTCGAAACGGGCGGCAGCGAACAACATCAGCAGAGCGCAGAGCGTGTTGATGCACACGTGCGCGGAGCATTGCAGCAGCAGAAAGGATTGGTGCAGGAATATGATGCTCTTGAGGGGTTGGTAATGCACGGGGAACGGATATTCCGCGTTTGTGGGAAAGGGCTGTGGTATGAACAACGTTCCGGTGGATATGATTAACGCTGTCACGTAGAACCAGATGGTAGACACTCCGTAGAACATCGAGTACTTGTCGACGTACCTTTGATAAGTGGATCTCTCGTAGGGTTTCGCTTTCTTGCAACATTCTTTCATTTCTGCGATCAGTTCCTATTGATCAACTCCAGTTAAATTGGTTTAATGATATATTGCTAGGAGTTTATAATTAAACTCTTAGGACGCGTGGCGACACAACGCGTGGAATTAGGGCGCGTGGCGACACAACGAGTGGAAATATGGCGCGTGGAGATATATAACGCGTGGAAATATGACGCGTGGCGATACAACACGTGGAATTAGGGCGCGTGGCGACACAACGCGTGGAAATATGGCGCGTGGAGATATATAACGCGTGGAAATATGACGCGTGGCGACACAACGCGTGGAATTAGGGCGCGTGGCGACACAACGCGTGGAATTAGGGCTGCTAGGAGTTTATAATTAAACCGGCCTCACCAGAAAATTATTCTGGTGAACGATGCAGATGGACGAGTTCCACAGAATCTGCACGACAGCTATGAAAAGACATATGGATTTGGAAAAATTAACGTAGTCGTTGTGGTTCGTGTATAAAGAGTACACCAAAGGCAGAAACAGAAGAAACGCGTTAAGGAGCACTAAGCATCTGCAGATTTTGAAACGGGTCACCCGGGACCTGGCCTGCGCGGGCCAGCAGCACGTCAATGCCACGCTATATCGCGTGAATTCGATCGCTCTTTCTGGACTTATATTTCTGAACATAATTAACTCTGAAATTTTCTCGGTTAAATTTTAATTAAAATTTAAACTCGTTCACGATATCGTTATACACATAGATGATTTTCGTTATACACCACATAGGTTCTAATTAGTTAGGTTTTGCGTTAATAATGTTTGGTCAAAAAAATTTTTAGAGAAGTAGCGCTGTAGTTTACTGTTATCCCCTCAGCACTAGAATGTCGACACGTAAGTCGATGGTATCAACCCTTTCTGTTACGAAATGATACGTTACGATTGCTGCAGTTTTAATGACTGCAAGGTTCTTTTCCCTAGCAATTACCTCGGGCAAGTCAGCACCCGCATGGGAAGAGCTGCATATGTCTTAGGCTGAATTGTTGCATCGTATTTTTTCCTCGTAAACAAATTATTGCGTCTAAAGCTTGGAAAAATTGTAGCACACAATATTGGAGAATGAACGATACAAATGTGGAGAGAATAAACGATACGAATGTGGAGAGAATAAACGATACGAATGTGGTGTTTTGATTTTTATTATACATAGAACACATGAAGGATAAGACACAAGATTTCTTGGGTTGTCAAGATTTCGTGTATTTCTCTATGTACATATTTAACATGTTTAAGGACAACTATATTTTTGAACATCAAAGTTGCTTGTAAGTGCGATAATAAAAGTGCAGTGACATTTTTAATCATAGTTTAGCTACACTACGTAGGTATTACACAATTTCTAGGTTAGGTTTGGTGGTTCGTTACTTCGTCTTCGGAAATGGCAACTCGCAAGACGGAGAACAAAGAGAATACGTTCGACACGAACTGAAAATATTCGAAATTAGAAAATGCGCGTTACATTAGCAACAATGTTTCATACCGAGCAAAAGTAATTCAACGAGAGTGCCGGGATAATGCAGTCGACTTTAATGGCCACTGGTGGTTGTGGCAGCAACATAATTCTCACGTCTCTCTGCATGCTCGAACCTCGATCAAACCACGTTGATTCGTATATACCTTCCATAACATTCTGGCTCTGTCAACAGAGATATTAATTTCATACCTGATTTCTGCTTAAAATACGTAGAGCCGAAGCCTGCAGAATTTCACCATAATTTCAATAATTTTAATATAATTTCACTTGGGATTGAGTTACAAGTGAGATACTGTATTCATGATATAAAAACACTCACTATACTCAGTAGATGATCAGCGGGCCAGGCACAAACGAAAACGTCCACCAACGCAGTCCACACTATAGATAAGTACTGGCACCTCGATGTGAAGGGTTGTGGCTGTACAAATTTCAAAATTAAACTGAATCCAATTTAAGGTCACTATTGCTACATACTTGTATTATCTTTATCCCGCAAAATACAAGTATCACACCGCACATGATAACTGTACACATAGGTAAGTATTTAATAGTGTTGACCACGTCACATGCATACCTGAAACAACATCATTCGCTACCTATTTCTCAAATTATCCTCATACCTCCTCACGGTACAACACTTTTCCATACCTTCTCACGGTATAATACTTTTCCATACACTTTATCAACTCGCTAGGCTTCTTAACCTCCCTCAGCTCCATCTTCAAGATCTCAAACCTTGCCGAGGCGAACAGCAACAGCAGAGCGCAAAGCACGCTAACACACACGGTCGCGGAAAATTGTAAACCGATGACCGATTGATGCAGAAATACTATGCTCATTAGAGGTTGGTAATCAACGGCGATTGGGTATACGGCGTTTGTCGGAAATGGATGGGACGAGAAAAATGTTCCTAGAATGACTAGTATCGCCGTCAAGTAGAACCATGTTGCTGACACTCCGTAGAACGTGGAGAACTGATCGACGTACCACTGTAATATGACTCTCTCCCGAACATTTGCGTTCTTGCAGTACGTTTGCATGCCTTCCACTACCCCCTGCAACGTGTACCTATATTTATTTTAACTAGTGATTTCACTTTGTGGCAAAATTAAAATTTGGAATTTTTCTGAATTTTCTGTTTGAGTCTTTAAGTTTATTTGCTTTGGACGATTCAGTGATATTTCATCTTTTACAGTAACTTGCACTATTTTTGACTAGCACTATTATCATACTTAGCAGGGTAATCGATAGCTGTTTGGCTAAAAGACACTTATACAAGAAATTAAATGAAATAATGCTCTAAAAAATTTGCATTGAACCTGTATTAAATTTAATTGCTCTGTGTGATTTAGTAATACTATTTTATCTTTTACAGTAATTAAACTCGCATTGTTTTTTGATTTGCCTTATTATTATACTTGAATAATACCCTCAGCAAGGTAATATTCGATAGCTGTTTGGTTAAGACACTTATACAAGAAACTAAATGAAATAATGCTCTAAAAAATTTGCATCGAACCTGCATTAAATTTAATTGCTCTGTGTGATTTAGTAATACTATTTTATCTTTCACAGTAATTAAACTTGCACTGTTTTTTGACTTGAATTATTATTATACTTGAATAATACCCTCAGCAAGGTAACGTTCGATAGCTGTTTGACTAAGATACTTAAAGAAATTAAATGAAATAATGCTTTAAAAAATTTGCATTGAACCTGTATTAAATAGTGTACTATTTTCTAATAATCAGAGAGGTCTTACCTGGAACCGGTCGTAGTGAGTAATACTAATAATCGTGTTCACTATAAACTGCACCTCGGCTAACAAAAAACAAATGGACTCAGAAACATTCGCGGGGTCATTGTACGTGTACAAAGCGTTAATTAAAGGTAGGAGGAAAAGGAACGAGTTGAGGAGCACTAAAATTTTGAAGACCTTGTAGCCAGTCGTCAGCAGCTTAGTTGTTTGCGAGGAAAGCGGTAAGAATACTGCAGGCGCGACGCTCATTCGAGTAAACGCGATCGCTTTCTCTGGCGTTATGTTTCGAAACATTTGTTCTAATATTTTTTAATTGAAAGTAAATGAAAGTGTACAATAACTCATGATACCAAAAATGATCACTGTTTATTCGCCAACTTTGTAGAGCTGTTGGAAACTAAATGACGGCAGATGGAACGCAGTGGTGAACCCCCGGTTCTATTAAAAATACATTACAAAATAGCCACTATTTCTTTAAGTTGGGTAGTTCGAAAGATGTTGCTTATTGTCATGGGAAGTGTGGCACATGTAGCAATTTATCAGGGGGCATACAGTGATTACGCGGGTAATTGTAGCGTTTTAGATATCGTTGGGTGAGGGAGTGTAAAGTAACAGTTAGCAACATGTTGCAATGTAGTCTGTCTCGTCACGAAAACTACAGGTCTCAGTCAAGACAATATTTTACTTAATATTTCTTTAGTTGGGGTTCACGCTACCCCAAAGCGATGTCAATGAATTTAACTATTAAGTGATCATCAATGAGATACGAAATCACGAGATTAATCGGGAAGTATTCTATGTGCTGTGTAATTACCTTCCCTCTGTTTGGAAGATGCGATAAGCACGATATTCAGCGACATGGGAAGTCTAGCACATTGCACAGATTATGTGCCGTACTTCCAAAGCTTCTGGACTGTTTTGTCGTATTATGTAATTTCTTGGTTCATGATACAATATTCTAGTAAAGGTTCATACTTCATAAATTTCGAGAACAGTGTTAGAGTTTGTGAAGTGATTACAAAAAAACCATAAAGTCTGATTGACACTATAAAGTGTCCATGAAGCAAAGTGTTCAATGAGCATCACGTGAGTGTAAAACACTGTCTGCAGTGATACATTTATTAACAAACTTTTAAACACGGGTATGTTTCACATTGTTTCAGAATTGACTAAAATTCAGTTATGTATGTTCCTCGTCTTTTCACCCATCTTTTACAATTGCGATACGCAAAACGGAGAATAAGGAGAATACATTAGAGACGAACTGAAAGAATATGAAATCAGTGAAGTGCCATTAATTTAATACGAGAATGGTTCATACCGAGCAAAAGTAATTCAGCGTCTAAGAGCACTTATTCTAGATTTCAGCAGTTAACTTCGCATTTGGAAGAAACGGTACAGCGTGGGAAGTCTGGCACAAATATTGGGATGTTATGGTTGCTATTATTCCTGTAGGTAATTGATATAATTCGGGCAATTGAATGTAGTATCAAACTCGCTTCGAAATTCAGTTCTAGTGCAGTATTCTGTGTGATCAAATCATTGCGAGTGGAAATAATTCCACTTTGAGGGTGCAATTTATACGAAGGAATTGTACGATGATTTGATATTTTGTAACAATTGAAGGTATACGAATGTTCAGGTTCTTTTAAATTCAGTATCAATAAAAATTTGTTCTGACCTTTTATTAATCAGTACATTCGATCCGAATCATGATTCTATCACGGCTCGCATTGCCATAAAGTAGGAAGATATGCTAGTCAAAAACTGCATAACACATAATAATTATTGTTGTATACAATTATTGTTATGTACAAAATTTATGTTTTTTTTTTAAATCCACTTACGTGTGCATAATATTCCAACGAGAGTGGTGGAAGCAAACCACCCATTGTGATCAGACATGGTTTCCTGTTTCTTTGCATCATGATCAGAATGAGATTTGTCATTTTCCGTGGCTGTCGTATCCACTGAATGTCGTTCACCGATGTTGCGAAACGTAGACTCTGAAAAGTGCCACTATTATCGCTATTACACTAAGAGCTAGACAATCCTAGAAGTAGAATATAATAGAAAATAATTTGACATATGTGCTCCTTTCTGGACGTATGTCATGTGTGGTGATGATTGACTGAGTGAGCAGTTGCGAGAATGAGTCGAATGTTTATACATCTGGTGGTGAATTTCTGAAGTAAGGCCTCTAAAGTGTAAAATATCGAAGTTAAAGTTTGACGTGTATTTAAAGAAAAACTAACTCGTGACATGACTTCATATTTTCTAAGATTGCTCTGAAAATTTTGAGAATTGAAGTCTAAAGAAGAATTGCAGTCAAAAGTGGGATTCTATGCACTATGAAGATCACTCTCAAAAATTTCAAAATAGTATTTATTTCAGATTCGTATCAGTAGCATTTGATGATGAATGAGATGAACCTCTGATCAAGCTAAAATTATCAAGCTTACACTTTCTTTCAAATCGTCAGCCGGCCAGGAAATAACGTACAGGTGTCCGCAGCCTGATACCACCATACAAAGAAACTGACTCGTTACAGCCAACGACTGGTTCTGATATCACAGAAATACGTTTAAAAAGGAACCTGGATTGCTATTCTACTCTACAGTGCAAGGGAGAGCTAAACTCACGTAAATCAGAGGGAAAGCTCCGCATATGAGAGCGCTTCCCATCGTGATGTTCGTTTTGAATAATAAAGCCTGAACAGCAGCTTTAGTATCGTCCACGAATCTAACCGTCGTATATCAATTTACTTACACTAATATTATCCTTTAAAATATTATATACAATAGGACAAAATTCCTATAAATTCTCTCCGTCTTTACTAACAAAATGAAGTTTCCAGAAGAGATATCTTACCCTAGTATTTCTTGATGTTCTTTGACACAGCTTACCAGCAGGTCGTAGCGGTTCACTCGCTTCATCTTCGAGCCTAGTATGTCTAGCCTCGCGGCGGTGAAACAGAAAAGTGTGGTGATCATGAAGTCCACACCGATGCAGAGCGCCGTCTGCAAGATGCAATAGACTTGCACCAGATAAACGACCCAGTATATTCCAACGAATTCGACGGAGAACGGGATCCAACCATCTGCCGGAAGTTTTTGCCCAGAGAATAACGGAGCCAGGCTAAACGATATTCCAGTCGAAATGTACGCGATCGCGATCACCGAAAACAATTTCTTGTAACGATCCACGTAACTCTGTATGATTTTATTCTCCTGCTCGTCGGCTACCTGTAGGTACATCCTGATTCTCCCGATCAGACCCTGAATTCAAATCAGAACTTTAGGAATTTTATACTCTAGGAAGACTATTCTTTCTTTCAACAAGAGCCAGATTCTTCTCGAAGAATGCATAGAACTTTAATACAACCTGCAGTCGCCTGTGGTTCATTTTGCAGAACAACAGGTCCAGGATCACCTCCAGAAGGGCAGTCAGCTCCGAAATGCTTTTCGTCAGTATAACAATATCGCTGCGATAGTAATAAATTCCGAACACCAGGGACACAGTCAGCAGGATAACATTGATCATGACGAATGCAGTTTTAATGACTGCAAGGTTCTCTTCCTTAGCAATTATCTCGGGCAAGTCAGCACCCGCATGGGACGAGCTGCATATGTCTTAGGCTGAATTGTTGCATCGTATTTTTTCCTTGTAAACAAATTATTGCATCTAAAGCTTGGAAAAATTGTATCACACAATATTGAAGAATAAACAATACGAATGTGGAAAGAATAAACGATACGAATGTGGTGTTATGATTTTTATTATAGAAGACATGAAGGATGAGACACATGATTTCGTGTATGTTCGTATGTTCTTTATGTTCATATTTAACATGTTTAAGGAAATACCAATCAGAAAAACCTTATCGAGTTTCAGTGGTTACCGTGGCAAGATTTTTGAACATCAAACATGCTTGTAAGTGCGATGATGAAGGTGCAGTAACATTTTTGATCATAGTTTAGCTACACTACGTAGGCATTACACAATTTCTAGGTTAGGTTTGGTGGTTCGTTACTTCGTCTTCGGAGATGGCAACTCGCAAGACGGAGAACAAAGAGAATACGTTCGACACGAACTGAAAATATCCGAAATTAGAAAATGAGCGTTACATTAGCAACAATGTTTCATACCGAGCAAAAGTAATTCAACGAGAGTGCCGGGATAATGCAGTCGATTTTGATGGCCACTGGTGGTTGTGGCAGCAACATAATTCTTACGTCTCTCTGCATGCTCGTATCTTGATCAAACCACGTTGATTCGTATATACCTTCCATAACATTCTGGCTCTGTCAACAGAGATATTAATTTCATACCTGATTTCTGCGTAAAATTTGCAGAGCTTGCAGAATCATTTCACAATAATTTCAATAATTTTAATATAATTTCACTTGGGATTGAGTTACAAGTGAGATAATGATATAAAAACACTCACTATATCCAGTAGATGATCAGCGGGCCAGGCACAAACGAAAACCTCCACCAACGCAGTCCACACTATAGATAAATACTGGCACCTCGATGTGAAGGGTTGCGGCTGTACAAATTTCAAAATTAAACTGAATCCATTTTAAGGTCACTATTGCTACATACTTGTATTAACTTTATCCCGCAAAATACAAGTATCACACCGCACAGGATAACCGTGCACAGAGGTAAGAGCTTAATAGTGTTGACCACGTCACATGCGTACCTAAAACAACATCTTTCACTATCTATTTCCCAAATTATCCTCATACCTCCTCACGATACAACACTTTTCCATACCTCCTCACGGTATAATACTTTTCCATACACTTTATCAACTCGCTAGGCTTCTTAACCTCCCTCAGCTCCATCTTTAGGATCTCAAACCTTGCCGAGGCGAACAGCAACAGCAGAGCGCAAAGCACGCTAACACACACGCTCGCGGAAAATTGTAAACCGATGACCGATTGATGCAGAAATACTATGCTCATTAGAGGTTGGTAATCAACGGCGATTGGGTATACGGCGTTTGTCGGAAATGGATGAGACGAGAAAAATGTTCCTAGAATGACTACTATCGCCGTCGTGTAGAACCATGTCGCTGACACTCCGTAGAACGTGGAGAACTGATTGACGTACCACTGTAATATGGCTCTCTCGCGAACCTTTGCGTTCTTGCAGTACGTTTGCATGCCTTCCATTACCCCCTGCAACGTGTACCTATATTCATTTTAACTAGTGATTTCACTTTGTGGCAAAATTAAAATTTTTTAACTTTTCTGAAGTCTCAGTTTGAGTCTTTAAGTTTATTTGCTTTGGGCGATTCAGTGATATTTTGTCTTTTACAGTAACTTGCACTATTTTTGACTTGCACTATTATCATACTTGAACAATATCCTTAACAGAGTAATGCTTGATAACTGGTTGGCTAAGACACTTAGACAAGAAATTAAATAAAATAAATTTGCTTTGAAAAATTTGCATTAGACTTGTATTAAATAGTGTACTATTTTCTAATAATCAGAGAGATCTTACCTGGAACCGGTCGTAGTGAGTAATACTAATAATCGTGTTCACTATAAACTGCACCTCGGCTAACAAAAAACAAATGGACTCAGAAACATTCGCGGGGTCATTGTACGTGTACAAAGCATTAATTAAAGGCAGGAGGAAAAGGAACGAGTTGAGGAGCACTAAAATTTTGAAGACCTTGTAGCCAGTCGTCAGCAGCTTAGTTGCTCGCGAGGAAAGCGGTAAGAATACTGCAGGCGCGACGCTAATTCGAGTAAACGCGATCGCTTTCTCTGGCGTTACGTTTCGAAACATTTGTTCTAATATTTTTTAATTGAAAATAAATGAAAATGTACAATGACTCATGATACCAAAAATGATCACTGTTTATTCGCCAACTTTGGAGAGCTGTTGGAAACTAAATGACGGCGGATGGAACGCAGTGGTGAACCCCCGGTTCTATTAAAAATACATTACAGAACAGCCACTATTTCTTTAAGTTGCGTAGTTCGAAAGATGATATTTATTGTCATGGGAAGTGTGGCACATGTGGCAATTTATCACGGGGCATACTGTGATTACGCGGGTAATTGTAGCGTTTTAGATAGCGTTGGGTGAGGGACTGTAAAGTAACAGTTATCAACATGTAGTAATGTAGTCTGTTTCGTCGCGAAAACTTCAGGTCTCAGTCGACACAATATTCTACATTTCACCAGTTGAGTTCACGCTTCGAAAGATACGAAATATCAATGAATTTAGGTATTAAGTGATCATCAATGAGATACGAAATCACGAGATTAATCGGGAAGTATTCTATGTGCTGGGTAATTACCTTCTCTCTGTTTGGAAGATGCGATAAGCACGATATTCATCGACATGGGAGGTCTAGCACATGGCACGGATTATGTGCCGTACTTCCAAAGCTTCTGGACTGTTTTGTCGTATTATGTAATTTCTTGGTTCATGATACAATATTCTAGTAAAGGTTCATACTTCATAAATTACGAGAACAGTGTTAGAGTTTGTGAAGTGATTACAAAAAAAACATAAAGTCTGATTGACACTATAAAGTGTCTCCATAAAGCAAAGTGTTCAATGAGCATCACGCGAGTATAAAACACTGTCTGCAGTGATACATTTATTAACAAACTTCTAAACACAGACATGTTTCACATTGTCTCAGTTAAAGAATTTTCTAAAATTCAGTTTCGCTCCTCTTCACCCATCTTTTAGAATAGCGATACGCAAAACGGAGAACAAGGAGAATACATTAGAGATGAACTGAAAGAATATGAAATCAGTGAAGTGACATTAATTTAATACGAGAATGGTTCATACCGAGCAAAAGTAATTCAACGATAGAGTCGAGATGAGGCAGGGGACTTTAATGGCCACAGCCTTCTGGGGTAACATCATGACTCTGACGTCCCTCTGCATCCTCACATCCTGATCGTACCACTTCGATTTATATATCTCGTGCATAACATTTTCGCTCTGATAACATATATTTTATAATACACACATGAATATATTAAGAAATTTATCAAATTTACGGAGTGAAGTTCATGACAGTTTTAATACATTTTCCGTCAAATACGGGTTTGTAAACCTACCATGTCCAACAGATGATCTGCAGGCCAGGCAATCACGAAAACCTCCAGCAAAGCAGTTCCAACCACAGGCAAATATTGACCTTTCGTAGCGAGCGGCTGTGGCTGTTCGAAACAAATTCCATCACCGTTTTTAATACACATTGAGGAAACGTACTTACTTGGATCAGGATAATACCGCAAAACACTACTGCTATAGCGCTCAGAACTAGCATGCACAAAACTTCCAGCCTCACGACGCTGACCACTTGCTTCGCGTACCTAACACAATGTTCCCAAATTACAATTTTACAATTACAAATTTCTTACAATTTTCAAAAATTTACAAATTTTCAATTTGCCAGAATATTTTTATTCGAAGTACCTTTTCACGGTATAATATTTCTCCACGCACATTACGAACTGTTCGATATTCATAACCTCCCGCAGCTCCATTTTCAAGATCTCGAAGCGGGCTGCAGCGAATAGTAGGAGAAAGGCACAGAACATATTGATACACGCGTGGGCGCAACATTGGATGAGAACAAGCGATTGATGCAGGAATACTATGGTCTCGAGGGGTTGGTAATCCACTGGAAACGGATATTCGGCGTTTGTTGGAAAAGGCTCGGATGAGACGAGTGTACCCAATATGAGGATCATCCCCGTCACATAGAACCATATCGCTGATGAACCGTAGAACGGGGAGTACGTATTGATGTACCTTTGGAACACCACTTTCTCGTGCAAGGTTGCGTTTTTGCAACAAGCTTCCATCACTTCTATCACCTCCTGTAACGTAGTCTTTTAGTTTATGGTTCAATGTATAAAAATTACACTAGTCACATATGTGGCTAGGTACAAAAATCACATATGTGACATATGAGGTCAGATACAAAAATATGTCACATATGTGGCTAGGTACAAAAATCACATATGTGACATATGTGGTCAGATACAAAAATATGTCACATATATGGCTAGGTACAAAAATCACATATGTGACATATGTGGTCAGGTTTAAAAATTACATATGTCACATATGTGGTCAGGTTTAAAAATTACATATGTCACATATGTGGTCAGGTTCAAAAATCACATATGTCACATATGTGGTCAGGTACAAAAATCACATATGTCACATATGTGGTCAGGTACAAAAATCACAATAGTCACATATGTGACATATGTGGTCAGGTAAAAAAATCACATTAGTCACATATGTGGTTAGGTACAAAAATCACATTAATCACATATGTGGTCAGGTACAAAAATCACTTATGTCACACATGTCACATCTGACAGTTGAATTAACCCATACTGCTATTTTCCCAAATTTCTAAATTGAACAATTGATGAGTTCCCAAATTCTAAATTCTGATTTCAATCTTATACCCAGTCTGACTCGTAAATTCAGTCATGAAAGAATCTTACCTGTAAACGATCGTATTGAACGGTGCCAATAATGGTGTTCGAGATTAATTGGAACTCTCCCATCAAGAAGCAGACGGATTGGGAGACATTCGTAGGATCTTGGTACATGCACAAACTGTTTATTATGGGCAGAAAGAGAAAGAAGGAGCTCAGGACTACTATAAACTTGAGACTCTTGTAACAGATCGTCTGTAACTTAGTAGCTCTAGAAGAAAGTGGTAAGAATAATGAGAGTGCCAGGCAAAATCGCGTGAATGTGATCGCTTTTTCTGGAGACGTGTTTTGGAACATAATTTTTGATAACTTAGCTTTTAGAACGTTTTAACACTTTCGCGCCCATTGTCTGCTTCATTCAAATACATTTTGAACACTGTATTAACTGTGTATTGTTTCATGCTGCGTTCTAAAAGTCACTTATTTTAGTAAACTGTTTTGCTAAGTCGGACTCGATTGAATACCGGATCAAACGTGCGAAGGAATACATTCTCGTTTCTATTAAAAAAATCATAGTCTTGCTTCGATAAGAGGTGTAATAGTATAATGGCGTCTAAGAGCACTTATTCTAGACTTCAGCAGTTAACTTCGCGTTTGGAAGAAACGGTACAGCGTGGGAAGTCTGGCACACGTAACGGGATGTTATGGTTGCTATTATTCCTATAGGTAATTGATATAATTCGGGTAATTGAATGTAGTATCAAATTCGCTTCGAAATTCAGTTCTAGTGCAGTATTCTATGAGATCAAATGTTCGTGTAACGAAGAAAATGTAACGACTAATGTACACTTTCAATGTTTTACTGTCTTTTATTGTTTCGTTAAATCACAACGTTCATTTTTCGACCATTATACGCAACGCAGCGAAGTACGACGTTGACTTGTACAAGTACTGAAAAATAGTATCATTGATTATCATCGTATAATTGCAGTTAGTTCCAAAAATTACCTGCGCGTAGTAAAACAACGACAGCTTCGGAACGATACCTCTAACATAAATAAACTCCAACTTCTGAGATCTTAACATCATAAAAAATATCTTTCTTTGTATCGCAATATTTTTTTCGAACCACTTCGTACTGTACGCATTCGTAGCTATCTTCTCACTCTACAAAAAGATCTCACTTTCTCATTATTCTTACATTTTTACTTTTGTTCACACATTTTTATTACCATACGCATCAAGTTGTCAGCCGGCCAGGCGTACATGAACAGCTCCACGCTCGCACTGAACACTATGACTGCGTATAAGCCTTTCAATAATAATGGCTGCTTCTGTTATTAACAAGAATTTTATACTTTATCACTGTATGGTAAAAGCAGTGACCAAAATATACTTACAGTAACCAGGTTTAGACTTCCAAATATGACTGCTATTATTGTAGTTGTTACTGTTGCTAGCACTAAGAATCTGGCGCATTTGCATACCTGTCTAGTGTACCTAAAATTCATGTGTAACAATGTGCAAAATTCATGATTGGTACTCAATGCACAAAATTCATGATTGGGACTCAATGTGTAAAATTCATGACTGGGACTCAATGAGTAAAATTCATGAGTGGTACTCAATGTACAAAATTCATGATTGGTACTCAATGTACAAAATTCATGATTAGTACTCAATGTATAAAATTCATGATTAGTACTCAATGTATAAAATTCATGAGTAGTACTTAATGTATAAAATTAATGAGTAGTATTCAATGTATAAAATTTATGTTTGGTACTCAATGTATAAAAGTCATGATTAGTACTCAATGTGTAAAATTCATGTTTGGTACTCAATGTATAAAATTTATGTCTGGTACTCAATGTATAAATTTCATGATTAGTACTCAATGTATAAAATTTATGTTTGGTACTCAATGTATAAAATTCATGTGTGCAAAATTCATGATTGGTACTCAATGCACAAAATTCATGATTGGGACTCAATGTGTAAAATTCATGACTGGGACTCAATGAGTAAAATTCATGAGTGGTACTCAATGTACAAAATTCATGATTGGTACTCAATGTACAAAATTTATGATTAGTACTCAATATGTAAAATTCATGTTTGGTACTCAATGTATAAAATTCATGTTTGGTACTCAATGTATAAAATTCATGTTTGGTACTCAATGTATAAAATTCATGTTTGGTACTCAATGTATAAAATTCATGTTTGGTACTCAATGTATAAAATTCATGTTTGGTACTCAATGTATAAAATTCATGTTTGGTACTCAATGTATAAAATTCATGTTTGGTACTCAATGTATAAAATTCATGTTTGGTACTCAATGTATAAAATTCATGTTTGGTACTCAATGTATAAAATTCATGTTTGGTACTCAATGTATAAAATTCATGTTTGGTACTCAATGTATAAAATTCATGTTTGGTACTCAATGTATAAAATTCATGTTTGGTACTCAATGTATAAAATTCATGTTTGGTACTCAATGTATAAAATTCATGTTTGGTACTCAATGTATAAAATTCATGTTTGGTACTCAATGTATAAAATTCATGTTTGGTACTCAATGTATAAAATTCATGTTTGGTACTCAATGTATAAAATTCATGTTTGGTACTCAATGTATAAAATTCATGTTTGGTACTCAATGTATAAAATTCATGTTTGGTACTCAATGTATAAAATTTATGATTAGTACTCAATATGTAAAATTCATGTTTGGTACTCAATGTATAAAATTCATGTTTGGTACTCAATGTATAAAATTCACGTTTGGTACTCAATGTGCAAAATTCATGTTTGGTGCTCAATGTATAAAATTCATGTTTGGTACTCAATGTATAAAATTCATGTTTGGTACTCAATGTATAAAATTCATAAAAAACAAATTCATAACAAGAATAACTTCCTAAAAAACATTACCTCAAAAGTTCACTGTGTACTTTTATGCAGGCGTTCAACTCACGATCAGAAGTAGCAGCATGCAACTGCATCGCCAATAATTCGAACCTAGCAGCCGTGTACCGCAAAAGAAGAGCTACTTGGGCATCGATAGCCATACCAGACGACGCCTGAAAGCCAACCAACGATTGATGGAAAAATATTAAGCACTTCAATGGCTGATGCTCCACGGGGAATGGATATATCGCGTGCGTTGGAAACGTTTGCGGTGAGTACAATGGGCCACTTATGACGAACATCGTGGTGAGAAAGCACCACAGAGTGTAAACGCCGTGGAAGTATTTGTATCTGTCGACATAACGTTGCAGAACTATTCTTTCAGAGGATGTGGCACGCTTACAGAAATCTTCCATGTCGAAGTACAAAACCTGAAAGCACTTTTGTGATTCTTGGATTTTCTCAACTGAGACGTCTTCTAGAGTACATTCTGAACTACTATTGGTTGTGTTTTGAAATAATATTTCACTTTCAAAATTATAGTTATCCATGGTTTCTTCTAAGAAATTTAGTAGGAACTTAGAAATTTAGTATTTTACCTGAAATTGCTTCTGCTGCAACCGACACATCGTCATTTTAATGATCACCTGAGCCACCGCCGCGCAGAGACTCACAGTTTTCCCAAGAATGATTGGGTTTTTACGATATTCGTACACAGCGTTGAACAACGGTACGAACAACCCTAATGCACTGACCAGAGACGTACACCACAAAATGTTAAAAAATAAGAGACGAGTCTTTGTTATTAGGGGCGAAGGTGGCCACGAACAAGTTAGGAGGACACTCAGTTTGGTGAAATGTATAGCTGCCTCCGGAGTCACGTGTTTCATGTTACAAACCCTTCACATTCCTTTATACATTCAGTAAAATAACTTGCTACAAAAATTGCCAAAAAGCTGTTTAAAGGGTAAAATAATTTTTACGGTATCTACACAATCCGCATTTGTAACAAAGAATTCCGTAACCGACGATACTCGTACACGGTATCTCTTTCAAATAGTGGCACGGGTTCGCTCGCGCAACACCGAGGGCGAAATTAAATTAATAAGTAACGCGCCAGTGGCAAGCTATGCAATCAACATTCATCCTTGCTAGTAACTATTTCACTAGTTCGTGAGAATACCGCAGTACGTAGAATCTTCGCAACCCCTAATGATTTGTTGCAAGAAACCTGTTTCCATTTTCGAGGGAGAATCTATACACCCGTGCGTGGAAAGTGTTGAATAGCGTGCTGCAAACGGTGAAACTTAAGAAATAGGGAAAGGGTGTTTTCATTGCAAGTGGAAATAATTCCACTTTGAGGGTGCAATTTATACGAAGGAATTGTACGATGACTTGATATTTTATAACAATTGAAGGTATACGGGTTCTTTTAAATTCAATAAATAAAGATTTGCTCTGACCTTTTATTAATCAGTACATTCGATCCGAATTATGACTCAATCATGGTTCGCATTGCCATAAAGTAGGAAGATATGCTAGTCAAAAACTGCATAACACATAATAATTATTGTTGTATACAAAATTTAGGTTCTTTTAAGTACATACAAAATTTATATTATGCAACTTACGTGTGCATAATATTCCAAGGAGAGTGGTGGAAGCAAACCACCCATTGTGATCAGACACGGTTTCCTGCTTCTTTGCATCATGATCAGAACGACGTTTGTCATTTTCCGTGGCTGTCCTATCCACTGAATGTCGTTCACCGATGTTGCGAAACGTAGACTCTGAAAAGTGCCACTATTACACTAAGAGCTGACAAACCTAGAAGTAGAATATAATAGAAAATAGTTTGACATATGTGCTCCTTTCTGGACGTATGTCATGTGTGGTGATGAATGACTGAGTGAGCAGTTGCGAGAATGAGTCGAATGTTTATCCATCTGGTGGCGAATTTCTGAAGTAAGGCCTCTAAAGTGTAAAATATCGAAGTTAAAGTTTGACGTGTATTTAAAGAAAAACTAACTCGTGACATGACTTCATATTTTCTAAGATTGCTCTGAAAATTTTGAGAATTGAAGTCTAAAGAAGAATTGCAGTCAAAAGTGGGATTCTATGCACTATGAAGATCACTCTCAAAAATTTCAAAATAGTATTTATTTCAGATTCGTATCAGTAGCATTTGATGATGAATGAGATGAACCTCTGATCAAGTTAAAATTATCAAGCTTACACTTTCTTTCAAATCGTCAGCCGGCCAGGAAATAACGTACAGGTGTCCGCAGCCTGATACCACCATACAAAGAAACTGACTCGTTACAGCCAACGACTGGTTCTGATATCACAGAAATACGTTTAAAAAGGAACCTGGATTGCTATTCTACTCTACAGTGCAAGGGAGAGCTAAACTCACGTAAATCAGAGGGAAAGCTCCGCATATGAGAGCGCTTCCCATCGTGATGTTCGTTTTGAATAATAAAGCCTGAACAGCAGCTTTAGTATCGTCCACGAATCTAACCGTCGTATATCAATTTACTTACACTAATATTATCCTTTAAAATATTATATACAATAGGACAAAATTCCTATAAATTCTCTCCGTCTTTACTAACAAAATGAAGTTTCCAGAAGAGATATCTTACCCTAGTATTTCTTGATGTTCTTTGACACAGCTTACCAGCAGGTCGTAGCGGTTCACTCGCTTCATCTTCGAGCCTAGTATGTCTAGCCTCGCGGCGGTGAAACAGAAAAGTGTGGTGATCATGAAGTCCACACCGATGCAGAGCGCCGTCTGCAAGATGCAATAGACTTGCACCAGATAAACGACCCAGTATATTCCAACGAATTCGACGGAGAACGGGATCCAACCATCTGCCGGAAGTTTTTGCCCAGAGAATAACGGAGCCAGGCTAAACGATATTCCAGTCGAAATGTACGCGATCGCGATCACCGAAAACAATTTCTTGTAACGATCCACGTAACTCTGTATGATTTTATTCTCCTGCTCGTCGGCTACCTGTAGGTACATCCTGATTCTCCCGATCAGACCCTGAATTCAAATCAGAACTTTAGGAATTTTATACTCTAGGAAGACTATTCTTTCTTTCAACAAGAGCCAGATTCTTCTCAAAGAATGCATAGAACTTTAATACAACCTGCAGTCGCCTGTGGTTCATTTTGCAGAACAGCAGGTCCAGGATCACCTCCAGAAGGGCAGTCAGCTCCGAAATGCTTTTCGTCAGTATAACAATGTCGCTGCGATAGTAATAAATTCCGAACACCAGGGACACAGTCAGCAGGATAACATTGATCATGACGAATGTCCACCGAACGTTCCGTAAAACGGTTCTAAACTTGCTGCTGTTCGAAGCCGGCCAGGTACACGTGAACGTGCCCGCCAATTCGAGAACACACAGCACTTGATTGAGGTTTGCGATCATTTTACTTTTATGACAGAATATGCTACGGGAAGCTTCCATGAGGTGTTCGCGGAACAAATGAAAATCGATCGAAATTAATCATTCACGACTGAATTTTGCACGCTACGCTAGTACGAAGGGATTATTTTGTATTTTTCTTTAGCAACGATAATTGCTGAAATGATAGGAAGTAGTCTGCTGGAAAATTGGTTATGTATCTTTTATATGTACATTGTTGCTTCAACGCCGTTCTCTACAAACAGTTAGTTTGACGCTGCGCGAAGTACCGAACATTAATTCGGGAGCGGAATCAAATACGTGGTTGGAACAAAAACGAATATCTGTCCTCTACGATTAATATTTGCATTCGTATACCTTTTATTTGATTAGCCTGGTTTTTGTCTGTAATCGTTTGTGTTGCAATGTTTCTGCATGAGAAATTGATATTATGTTTTGCAAAATTGTTTAGTGAAAATTGTGGTCTTTTGAACAGTGAAAACTATATTGTTTATATGTTGGGAAATTCCAGATTATTTGGAACTGAATTTATTTATTTGTTGAGAGGGATTCGGGGGTTTGGAAGTATATTTGTTTGATAAGCAAATTACATGTTTTGTTCAACTGCTTTAATATTTAATGAAGTTAAGTAAAATATATTTATAGTATATCTGTTGTGTCGTAACCTATTCTGTCACTGACTGACATATAACTCTTGTGCGTCACGAGTGCGTCACCGTGTTGTAACTTAAACTGACATATAACCCTTCTGCGTCACGAGTGCGTCACCGTGTTGTAACTTAAACTGACATGTAACCCTTTAACTTACAACACTGTGACGCACTCGTGACGCACAAGTTTGAATAATAAAAATGGACCTAATATTGTAACTTTCTTTTTGGTTGCTTTTAGGTTAGGTTTGCCTTAATATTGTACCAATTTTAGGTTAAGTTCGATCCATAATATTGTTCTAAGTCCCTCCATTGTTTGAATGATTTAAGAAAACATGCAGAATTAGAAAGTGATTTGAAAGAAAGTGAAACTAAGAAATAGTTGAAAGTATGGGAACGGTTGTAATCAAAAATGGTTTCCGACATCCGGATTAATACGCTACTCGTCGTTCTCCGGCTTCCCAATCCATCGGACATCGTTAACCGATATTGCGAACCGTAGACTCTGAAAAGAGATATTAAACTGGAGATCTCAAACAGAGGTATCGATAGAAAATCAATTAAAAGATTCAATAACGTGAATGGAAACCTCTTGCTTTATACGATTAGTCGTGCTTGCGAAAATGAATTGGTTCCGGTATCGAGGTATTTAACGAATGGAGCACTTGTGGTCTGCGAACTGCTACTTTACTCGTAAAATAATATGGGAATAGAAAAGCAAAAGACTCACAAAGCAAATCCTCGTGGTGTTCTGAACTGCACTCCTCTAGAAATCTAGTATTACATCTTGCTTACACTGTTCAATGTGTGTTTAACTTTGCTATTACATGTTGGAATTATTAACTACATCAGTAAACAGAAATAAACGAAGCAAATTTTAGTATCGCGTATCAAAGTTAAACACTCCAATGATTTACACACAGTTTCACATTTCACTCGACGTGAAACTGTTGTCATGTGAGTAATTTTTTAATATTGAAACGAAGGTAATGTATAATAAATACATACTGTTTATTGAGTATGCAATAACATATTACGTAAACTTAATAAATGTGTACGGTGATGTGCTTGATCCAGTACAATGTAAAATTGTTAGGTTAACAAATGTCACTGTCGGGTGAAGAGGTGTCTAGTTGAAGGTCATCGGTATCTCGATCTAAAAGAAAACTCAACTTAAGTTCTCACTTCTTATTCAAAGTGCAATAAATACTGAGTCACATTTAAGAATGACAAAAATGAGAAACAAAAATGGAGTCACACATACTGAAAGTTATTCCAGCATGGACCTCATCGCCATAAAGTACGAAAACACGTTGGTCAAAAACTGCAAAATAGAGAAATTATCCAAGGAATAATTTCAATGAAAGTTTGATAAAATTTACTTGAGAGAAATACTGCAATGACAAGACCGGAAGCAAACCACCCATCGTAATCAGAAACGGTTTTTGGCACCTTAGCATCATAATTAGTACGGTACTCTTCATTCTGCGAGACTTTCCTGGCCACGGGATGTCATGAAGCGATTTTGCAAACTTTAAACTCTATAATACAGTATTATTCAATATACGGTTATAGTACTATTAACTTAGACGTCAAAGTATTAAGTAAGCTGGGAAGTCTAACAAGGATGTGTATTAGTAATCTTGATTTGTCAGAAGTAACTTAGAGTTGTATTGTAAAATTAATTTAGTTAAAACTTACACTTTCCGTCAAGTCATCCGCCGGCCAAGTAATAATCCACATGTGTCCATATCCCGCCATTACCATACCGAAATACTGACACGCCGTATACAACGATTGGTTTCGAACCTTATAACAGATACCGATTTAAAATCATAGGACATACCTTGCAAATAAACTGTCTACCACTACCCTACGAACCGTAAAATAAAAACGGTTACACTCACGTAAAGCAAAGACAAAACCGCGGATATGACCGTACCTCCCATCGTGATGTTTGTTTTAAATAACAAACTCCGAACAGCAGCTGTAGTATCCTCGAAAAATCTACCATCATGTTTCACTTTATAAACTACATAAACACCTAACCGACTATTCTACCTGGTAATCTTGAGAGCAGTTAGACAAAAAGCTTACCAAGAGTAACTAACGTTATGAGAAATAGAGCTCTGATAGAAAGTAGCTTACCCTATTATTTCGTGGTGTTCTTTGACACATTTTACCAGCAGATCATAGTCACTCACTTGTTTCATCTGGCTGCTTAATATATCTAGCCTGGCCGCGATGAACGAGATCAGGCCGATGATCACGAAGTCGGAGAAGATGCTGAACGATACTTGGAAAATGCTATAGGCTTCCACACAGAAAATGTAGTAGAATACCAGATCGGGTTCCGTGGAGAACGGATACCAACCATTGAGCGGTAGTTGTTTCGTGTACAAGGCCATCAAATTGAACAGAGTTCCAGTGGAGACGAACTGAGACACGATCAGCAAGAAGTGTATTTTGTAGCGATGAACGTAACCCTCTATTACGCTGTTTTTGTACTCGTTCGATGTGTCGATGTACGTCTTCACTTTTCGAACGAGGATCTGAAAAAACCATCTAGGTCTATATTAGATAAAAAGGATCTCGAGTTCTAATTCTAACTTCAACCTGTATTTGCGAACTGTGAATTTTGCAAAGTATCATGTCCAGCGTCAACTCTATAAGACACCCCATCTCCGAAATAGCTTCCGTCATTATGATAATGTCACTTTTGTAGTGATACATGGTAAGAATCAAGCTCGTTATCACTATGAGCACGTTTACCACAGCGACCAACCAATGGACATTGCGCAAAATGATCTTCCACTTGCTGGCGTTCCTATCTACAGGCCAGGTACACGTGAACATACCCATCGACTCTAATAGATCCCACACTTTGTGGAGATACGCGGACATGTTAAAGAGTATGTCGATGCGAGCGAAGGTTCCATACTGACGGAAGAGCGCTAAACGAAATCAACCCTCTGAAACTATTAATTATTCAATGTGATACAGATTCGCACGCAAGCTACACTCACGAAGGTATTTTTTCCGAGCGCTGCAAATTTAATCGTAGTGGAACGATTGCCTCTAGAGAGCACTTTGATTTATGTATTTTTTATACATTGTTACTTCTCAATCGATAGGTGCAGGTGTTGAACTCACGGTTAGATTTGGCAGTTATATGGTCAATTAAAATGTTCGCGGACTTTGTTAACAAACGCAGGTTCACAAAAGTCATAAATCATAAGTTTGCAAAAATGTCACAAAATCGTTCGACAATTTAATGAAGAAAGTAAATCAAAATGGAATATTCTTTGAAGACCTTCGCAGTGAGTATGTTTGTCTACAGGGGTGATTCAATAGCGTAATTTTTCTAATATTAGCGAATTTATTTACTGTGTTGACATTGCATGACTAGATTAATAAAGTGTACGATGTGAATATTGATGGATTTCATAAAGTGAAGATGAAAATACCAGTCTCCGTTAAACGAAGATATAAAAGAAAAGTGTTACTCAATTTTTGTTCAAAGAACGGTAAGTTTATTATAGCGTTTTAACGTACAAAATTTGGTACATGTTATAACTCGAGCATGGATCTCATTGTCATGAAGTAGGAAAATACGCTGGACATGAAGTATAAAAACAGTAATTATTATGGTATTCGGTAGAAATATTAGGTTGGGGAATAAGTTCGTAGCGTTTTGACATTTTCTTTTTTTTACAGCGACATTTTGCAATTTGCAAGAGGTTATAATATTCATTCGATAGAGCTCTTTCTGCTCTATAAAACTGTGTTAATCGTTTTTTTTAATCGTTTTTTTTAAAACTGTGTTAATCGTTTTTTTTCAGTAGATTCTTTCGACATTACTATTGAGGCTCAGAAATCTACATCAGCAAAGAGATATGCACGAAGCATACAAATTTTCAGTATCGCGTATCATAGCTAAACGCTTCAATGGTTTACACAATGTTTCACATTTCACTCGACGTGAAACTGTTGCCATGTGAGTAATTTTTTAATATTGAAATGGAGGTAATGTATAATAAATACATACTGTTTATTGAGTATGCAATAACATATTAACTTAATAAATGTGTACGGTGATGTGCTTGATCCAGTACAATGTAAAATGGTTAACAAATGTCACTGTGGGGTGAAGAGGTGTATAGTTGAAGGCCATCGGTATCTCGATCTAAAAGAAAATTGAACATAAGTTCTCACTTTTTCAAAGTACAATAAATACTGAGCCACAAAATTTGAGAAAGAGAAAAATGAGGAACAAAATGTGAGTCACACATACTGAAAATTATTCCAGCATGGACCTCATCGCCATAAAGTACGAAAACACGTTGGTCAAAAACTGCAAAATAGAGAAATTATCTAAGGAATAATTACAATGAAAGTTTGGTAAAATTTACTTGAGAGAAGTACTGCAATGATAAGACCGGAAGCAAGCCACCCATCGTAATCAGAAACGGTTTTTGGCACCTTTGCATCATAATTAGTATGGCACTCTTCATTCTGCGAGACTTTCCTAGCCATGGGATGTCATGAAGCGATCTTGCAAACTTCAGACTCTGTAATATAGTCATTAGACAAAGTATTAAGCGCGAAAGACTAACAAAACTGTGTATTAGTACTGATTCATCAGAAGTAACCTAACTTCTATTATTGTAGTTAAGTACTTAACGTTGTATTGCAAAATTAATTTAGTTAAAACTTACACTTTCCGTCAAGTCATTCGCCGGCCAAGTAATAATCCACATATGTCCATATCCCGCCATTACCATTCCCAAATACTGACACGCCGTAAGCAACGATTGGTTTCGAACCTTATAACAGATGCCCATTTAAAATCATAGGACATACCTTGCAAATACACTGTCTACCACTACCCTACCATCCGTAAAATAAAAACGGTTACACTCACGTAAAGCAGGGACAAAACCGCGGATATGACCGTACCTCCCATCGTGATGTTCGTTTTAAATAATATAGTCTGAACAGCAGCTGTAGTATCCTCGAAAAATCTACCATCATGTTTCACTTTACAATCTACGTAAGCACCTAACCGACTATTCTATCTGAGCAATCTTGAGAGCACAATATTTAGACAAAAAGTTCACCAAGAGTAGAAACTAACGTTATGAGAAATCTGTATTGAGATTTGAGATGTATCTTTCTGATAGAAAGTAGAGTTACCTTACCCTATTATTTCTTGGTGTTCTTTGACACAGTTTACCAGCAGATCATAGTCACTCACTTGTTTCATCTCGGAGCCTAATATATCTAGCCTGGCCGCGATGTACGAGATCAGGCCGACGATCACGAAGTCGGCGAAGATGCTGAACGATATTTGGAAAACGGTATAGGCTTCCACACAGAAAATGTAGTAGTATACCACATCGCGTTCCATGGAGAACGGAAACCAACCATTGAGTGGTAGTCGGCGTCTCATGTACAAGGCTATCAAATTGAACAGAGTTCCAGTGGAGACGTACTGAGACACGATCACTATGAAGTGTATTTTGTAGCGATCAACGTAACCCTCTATTACGCTGGTTTCGTACTCGTTAGCTGTTTCGATATACGTCTTCACTTTTCGAACGAGGATCTGAAAAAACCATCTAGGTCTATATCAGATAAAAAGGATCTTGAGTTCTAATTCTAACTTCAACCTGTAGTTGCGCACTGTAAACTTTGTAAAGTATGAGGTCCAACGTCAACTCTATGAGACACCCCATCTCTGAAATGGCTTCCGTCATGGTGATAAGGTCGCTTCTATAGTGATACATGGTAAGAACCAAGCCCGTTCCCACCACGAACGCGTTCATCACGGCGAACATCCAATGGACATTGCGCAAAATGATCCTCCACTTGCTGACGTTCGTATCGGCCGGCCAGGTACACGTGAACGTACCAATCGACGCTATTAGACCCCACACTTGGTGGAGATACGCGGACATGTTAAGGAGTATGTCGATGCGAGCGAAGGTTCCATACTGACGGAAGATCGCTAAACGAAATCAACCCTTTGGAACTATTAATCATTCAATGTGATACAGATTTGCACGCAAGCTACGATGTTATTCCAGGAAGGTATTTTTTCCGAGTGCTGCAAATTTAATCGTAGTGGAAACGGTTGCCTCTAGAAAGCACTTTGATTTATCTATTTTGTATACATTGTTGCTTTTCAATCGATAGGTGCAGGCGTTGAACTCACGGTTAGATTTGACAGTTATATTGTCAATTAAAATGTTGGCGGACTTTGTTAACAAACGCACGTTCACAAAAGTCATGAATCACAAGTTTACAAAAATGTCACAAAATCGTTCGACAATTTAAGGAAGAAAGTAAATCAAAATGGAAGTTATTTGAAGACGTTCGCAGTGAGTATGCTTGTCTACAGGGGTGATTCAATAGCGTAATTTTTCTAGTATCAGCGAATTTATTTACTGTGTTGACATTGCATGACTAGATTAAAAAAGTGTACGATGTGAATGTTGATGGATTTCACAAGGTGAAGATGAAAATACCAGTCTCCATTAATTGAAGATCTAAAAGAAAAGTGTCCCTCAATTTTTGTTCAAAGAACGATAAGTTTATTATAGCGTTTTGACGTACAAAATTTGGTACATGTTATAGCTCGAGCATGGATCTCATTGTCATAAAGTAGGAAAATACGCTGGACATGAACTAAAAAAACAGTAATTATTATAATATTCTGTAGAAATAGTTTAGTACTTACTTGAGAGAAATATTCTAAGGAGAGTGGTGGGAGTAAACCGGCCATTGGGATTAGAAATGGTTTCTGGCTCCTGAGCATCATGATTAGTACAGCACTCTTCATTTCTCGACTCTTTCCGATCCATCGAATGTCATTTAACGATATCGCGAATCGTAGACTCTGCAAAGCACCACATGAATTCATGCATGAAATTTAACATGATATAAGATTTAAGTTACTTACACTTTCTTTCAAATCGTTCGCTGGCCAAGTAATAACATACATGTGTCCACAACCCGCTAGCACTATAAAGAGAAACTGACTCGCCACAACCATCGACTGATTTCGAACCTTATGACAAAAATATTTATTAAGAGATAAAAATTGTCTTATGTCTGTTCCGCTGTTTTTCCACTGGCTCTAACGGCAAAACACTCACATAAAGCAGCGCTAAAACTGCGGATATAACAGTACCTCCCATCGTGATGTTCGTTTTAAATAACAAAGTCTGAACAGCAGCTTTAGTATCCTCGAAAAATCTAACATCATGTTTCAATTTATACATCTGCGTAAATGCCTAATCGGTTGTTTCTATTCTACCTCACTGCAGATAATTATTATTTTTCTTAAAAGTTTCTTTCAATGGTACCGCGACTTGTAAATTACAAAGATCTCAGAGTATCTAAAGTCTAAAGCAGATTACCCGATTATTTCCTGGTGTTCTTTGATGCAGCTCGTCAGCAGATCATAGTCGGTCACCTGTTTCATCTTCTCGCTTAATATATCCAGTCTGGCTGCGATGTAACAAAGGAGTCCGACGATCATGAAATCAGCGAAGATGCTGAAGGAAATTTGGAAAATTCCGTAGGATTGCACAAAGAAGACGCAGGAGTATATCTCGCTGCGTTCGATGGAGAACGGAACCCAGCCGTCCACTGGTAGGCCTCTTTTCGTGCACAGCGCCATTATCGTGAAAGAAAATCCGTTCGAGACGTATGGAAACGCGATTGTAGAAAAAAATTTCTTGTAGCGATCGAAGTAACTCTGTAGAATGGTGATCTGGTGATGGTCTGCTGTTTTGAGATACGTCTTCACGGTTCGAACTAGAATCTAAAGGTAGGATCAGGTAAATTACTCTGCTAATATAGAATAGAAGTATTGTTGGTAAAAAAAATGACACTTAACCTGCAGTTGTGCACCGTACGTCTTGTACATTACCAAATCCAGTATCACTTCCAGTAGACACCCCATCTCAGTGATCGCTTTCATCATGGCGACGATATTGTCTCGGCAATGATGTATGTCAAACGCCAAGAACACAGCGAGTAGAAGTAAATTGATCAGAGTAAACAACCATCGAATATTGCGCAAAACGATTTTCCACGTGTGAACGTTTGTACTCGCCGGCCAAGTGCACGTAAACGTCCCCGCTAATTCGAGTATGCGCCACACTTGGTGGAGATTCATTCTTGGTTGTAAACGAAGGAACATACTGATAGCGACCGCAAGACATCGGTAAATTGACCCTTCAAAATTAACTATTCAAGATTGAAATTTTGCAAGCTTTTCTTTCTGCCATTAATTGTGGAGAAAATTATAGAAAATTGGAAAAGATTGGCGTGTATGTTGCTACGTTAGCTACGGCTTTCTAAATATTTGATAAGTTGAACAGACAGTGTGGCAATCATACGTGCGTTTAATAGTGGAGGTTCGAAAATCAGCGATTTGTTGAAAAGTATTTCGATGACTGATGTTCCACGGAGAATAGATATGTCTCGTGAATTGGTCGCTGCGAGTACAATGGGCCACTTATGGTACATGGGGAGAATACACGTCGTGGAAGGATTTGTACCTGTCGACGCGAAAGAATCTTTTCAACCCCGGATTTTTTGGAGCATTAAATATTTTTGAAGGTGGGTCTATTGTGAAAATTCGGGCAACTTTATAAAATTAAATCCTTCAAACATCTCTTCAGACATAAAACATGACATACATAAAATTTTAATTTAAAAAAACATTTTTTCTTTCTCAATAAAAAACTACCCTGATGTACTTAAAATACACAGCCGCCAGATGGCGAAGACAATACCGTTCGCAAACCAAAACTCAAACTACAAAAGTTAACAAAAATATAACTGCAAGCTGCATAAATTATTTTTAATTTCTAATTCCTGCGTTGTTATAATTCACCAAAAATATTTGTTGTGAAAACGTTATCTTGTAGAGATAACATACCGACCATCGGAACTGCAGTTCGTTATCGACAGAGGATAAAAAAGACTATGAATATGTAACAATTTATTTAAATTTTTTATTTTACAGTTGCATCGATTGTATCGGAAAAAGTACAAATACAAACTACGTTTCAGACAATGCTTTCTGTGCTGTTCAATCAAGTTAGACAATTTACATACGTATTGAAAGTACGAGAAAAAGTTGCGGTGGCTTAAAAATATTCTGGTGAGCTTTCGGCGAGGCATAAAACCTCGACATTGTCATGCCTTAAAGGAACGTTTCTAATTTGCAATGCGATGAGGAGAATACCAGAGTTCCGGCGATAAGCCTTCCCCGATCATAATCCGCGGAAGTTTGAGGCTGCATTAAACTTTATATTACCATTTCACTCGGTCTGAATTTTATGTACACGGTTTATATTATCGTCTGTTTCACGAGGAGAATTTACGACGGGACCAAATCTTTTTTTCGACACGTTTCGTCGCGGAACCGATATTTCCCTGTCGCGGGGGCTCCAGAGGTAATCAAGCTCGAAACTTTTTATCCTGTTCGTATTGTCAGTTGTGAGAAATTGTATCCACCGTGTTTTCTTTTATTATCTCCTCGATAAAGTGGATGTACGTGCTCAGAATCGATCGCTAATACAAATTGAGAAGTTTATTACTTATTCGTTCTCGAGGAGAATATGATGGGCTAATGTTGATTCAATACTTCGATCGATAATTTATGCATACACATTTTTCGGTAAATAAACGCGGCCGGTGCGACGAGCGGTTGACGTTTTTATTCTGTGACTCGATTTAGCTGGCAGGGGAAATTATTATTCGATAGACCGCGTTAACAAACATGGGGCCGCAGGCTGCAGTTATCCAAACCGACGTTCTCCATTTCCCAGAAATTATCGACTCGCTGCAACGAAAACGTGCGTCGGGTCGCTGCAATCCCGTTATCAAGTCCTCTCGAACGTCAAGTTAAAACAGTAATTATTCGCAGGATTTTAAAGTTTGTTTTTCCCTTACTGGGGCCGTAGGCTGCTGATGCGGCGGAATAATTTCGCGTAACGAGTAACGATGACCGTCCTGACAATTTTCGAGTCAATCAATCGGTGATTTTGAATATATAATTTGACATTTTCCAGCCTCGTTAAAATCGAGCACTCGTCGAGAGCTCTCGTAACCGGCGATGAGCTAGTAATCACTTCGATAACGTATACAGAAAATTCGTATTATGCGAGCAGCAGGTCGTTACGCGCGAGATTCCCAATGAAACTGATAATTACATATTTTACTCTGCCCGTTTATTCCAACCTTCTTCCAAATTTACACGAATCGTTTTATTCTCATTTTCTAGTGTCCCAATTGCTACTTTTGGATAACGTGGATCCCTCGATCAGAAAGTCTCGCTGTAGAAATGCTTTCGGATCAGCTTGCTGAAAAACGAAGGTGAAAACGATCATTGTTTGCTACGTGATTCTACTAGGAGTGTAGGATGTCGACGTAGAAGTAATTTGATTGGACAAAGGGAAACCGTGATCAGATATCAGGTGATATACGACACAGATTAAACCGATAAAGCAGACGCTACGGGCCGATTTCATTAGCCGACACGATTAACCTTATCATCTCCAAAGAACACCTTCTTTCATTAGCGTAAAGCATGCGTCCCGTGTGACGTAAAATCGATACATATCGAGTAAACACTTGCGATTACCTTGTAATTAATATAACTTGTTGACATCCGTAAGGATTACCGATAATCGCTGCTATCGGCTACCAAAAGGGAAACGCAATTTTTCAATGTTCTCAATATTTGATCAGTGATAAGGTGAGATGATAAGGATATTTATTATTAATGATCGGTAAATTCAGTAGTCTGAGTATGTACGTCAGTTTTAACTATTAAGCTACAGTTACAATTTAAGTAATATTGTTAAACGTTTAACAATATTAAAGACATTTATTTTGACTAATGATCGGTATTTTCAATATTTAGTCTGATTACATACGTCAGTTTTATCAGTTAAGTTACAGTTACAATTTAAATAAATATTAAAGACATTTATTATTATTAATGATCGGTATTTTCAATATTTAGTCTGATTACATACGTCAGTTTTAACTATTAAGCTACAGTTACAATTTAAATAAATATTAAAGACATTTGTTTTTACTAATGAACAGTATTTTCAATAGTCAGTCTGATTACATACGTCACTTTTATCTATAAAGCTACAGTTACAATTTAAGTAAAGAATCAAGACATTCATTATTACTAATGAACAGTATTTTCAATAGTCAGTCTGACTACATACTTCAATTTTATCTATCGAGCTACAGTTACAATTTAAGTAAAGAATCAAGACATTGATTATTACTAATGAACAGTATTTTCAATAGTCATTCTGACTACATACTTCAATTTTATCTATCAAGCTACAGTTACAATTTAAGTAAAGAATCAAGACATTCATTATTACTAATGAACAGTATTTTCAATAGTCAGTCTGACTACATACTTCAATTTTATCTATCAAGCTACAGTTACAATTTAAGTAAAGAATCAAGACATTCATTATTACTAATGAACAGTATTTTCAATAGTCAGTCTGATTATATACGTCAGTTTTATCTATCAAGCTACAGTCACAAGTAAATAATAAATACATTTATTTTTATTCATGATCGGTATGAATAGTCATAGTCTGATTACATACGTCAATTTTATCTATCAATTTACAGTTACAATTTAAATATGATCATTACGAATAATTTATTAAGTGACTTTCTTTTGCAGAATACTTACTGATAAATGATCGTGGGTAGAAGAACAATTAAAACAGACCCAGTGGTACAAGCAGCGATGGTAGCAAGAATCGCCGATTCCGACATGGAGTCCAAAGGTACAGGCTTCGTGGTCGTTTCCTGAAAAATGTAAACTCAGCCAGTAGGTCAGGGAAATTGACCAAGAACCTCGATTAAGTTTCGAAACACGGGACTGATTAGAATTTCTGACGCGTTGCGCAAGAAAGCGTTAATCCCTTAAGCGGTGATAACACAACGAAACTTTATAATCCAGTTTTCGCGCATTCTACGTTGCTTTACCTTGCACGTGTTACGTTTAACGGGACCTAAATACTGGCAAACAAAATTCTGAGTAATTAATTAACATTCGTCTATTCGGACTCGAATCTTTTTATCGAATACGGTAGAATATTTCGCGGTTAGAATGATGAAACGCAATATCGGCTTAATCGCGACAACTCTTTCAGCGAGAAGTTTACGAGGTCGCGTCTGAGAACTTCCGGTTTAAAGTTCGCGGAAAAGCGTTGAACGCCCACGACCTGGTTCCCCGCGAATTTAACAGCGACCCCTTGCTTTCCGCGTTTAACTCGCGTCGTTTTCCCTTGCCAGCTTGCATTCACCTGTCGACTAATATTTCGTGACGTTGGCTTGAATTACCTCGTTTGCCGCGGGCCCCACGACCCTTTGCGAAACCTGTCGAAAATTCGCCAGAGTTTGTCAAGTAACGTGCAACAGCTTTCGTGCTTTAACAAAAGTTGAACTGGGAAACTTCGATTCGATTTTCAAGGCTGAGCTAATTTACTAGCGACGATTTTAATTCGCAAGGCTACGAGCTAGTTTACTACCGAAGGCGATAACACCTGAATTTTAATTCACAATTTTATGACAAGCTGCAATGTGTCGTAACGCGTTATATAACTTTGTTTATTCAATAGTGTTCTTAGCAGTAGTTTCCCTGTTTGATGACATGGCCATCCAATTTGAGTTACAAAGCAAACCTAACTACTTTTGGTACCACGTAAGTTTCAAATTTTGATGTTTCTGCTCTTTGCGGGCGTTCAAATAAGGTGCTCAGTTTTACGTGTAAACAGATGCTAAATTATGGAGAGCGATGTCAAAGCAGTACGTACCACACCATCCGCCAGGCAGAGAGCGACCGAAGAAAGCAGACACGAAAGTGCAATTTGTAAATACATTTTGTTTGAAAGTCCAGCG